CTCTGACTTCTCAACCTACTGCATGTTTTACTGATTTATTTGGTTCATAGTTAACCTCCTCTCATTAGAATATAAGCTTCATGAGAGCAGAGCTTTTTGTTAGTTTGGTTCATTTTTTTTATATCCTTATTGCTAACAGTAATACCTGAATATGGCAGTCTCCTGATGTAGTATTGCTAAATGAATGATTGCTAAATGAATGTATTATTGCTAAATGAGTGAAAACTGAGCTGCATCTCTTCATCCCCTACCATATACACATACACACATGCACTACCTTTCAAGCACATACATGCACACATACATGCAAGCCTGTATGTATACTGTTCACAGAAAGAATATGAATATAGATCTCAAAAGAAAGCTATAGATGTTAAGGAGGAAGGTAGTATACTTTGCTCATATGCTCATTCTAGTTGCAAATAGAAGTATATGTCCCCATCAGAAAAATTAAGACTAGTAAAAACTTGAATGGGATTTTTATGACAGTTTATGGAAATACAACACATACACCTTACAGCCATACTTAAAAGCATACAATTCAGTGGTTTTTAGTTTTTAGATTTGTGTAGGTATTGTCAGCACAATAAATTGTAGCTTGTGTTCCCTGTACTTATTAGCAGTTAGGCCCAATTTCCCCTCAGTCCCCCATGCCCAGCAATATCCTTTTGTAAAGTGTCTACATTAATTCTTAGTAAGATTTTTTCTATAAGTAAATGCAGGTTTACCATAAATTCTATAAAGCTTTTCAATAGTACTTTTTTTTTTTTAACTAGGCCAACACTTTAGAAAAAAGTTCATGCTTGTGAAAAGTATAACTTACTCTTCTTTTTTGAATTTTAGGATACTAATATAGCTCCCTTTGAAGCTTCTTCACATCGAGTCTTCATAAAATTTCATGCCGAGTATGCAGTGCTCCCATCAGCAATCCGCTTGACTTGGGACAGTTAAGTGTGGACCCACTGTCTTTACTCAGCACTTTACTCAGCACTTTGGATGAGCCAGGGCAGGGCTCTGCCATCTTGAAACATGACCTCCTGCCTGTGCCACTGAGAATAATTTGAATTTTTATGTTTTTCACAAAGTATGTTTAGAGTTGATATTTGCGTATTTTTTCAATGTGAATTGTAGCTTCTTTTGTCTTGGCTATGTACATCATTCTTAGTTCTAATATTTTGAGCTGATATTGTCTAAAATTTCTAAAAGGTTTGGAAATTATTATGAGATATGTGATGTAAATTTTCAAACATTAATGATAAAATAGAAGTATGAGTTTCCACTGAACGTCAAATTAGGGGTAATAAACTATTGAATTGTATCTCGTGATGTGTCAATAATTTTTACTCATTGAAATTAAGTCTTTCACTATGGGTCATACATACATTTTCAAGTTGTACATTTATATTTTGATAAAGTGCATGAATCTTTCAGAATAGGAACTCTGAAGCCATGCTGCCTGCATTTGAATTGGACTAATTCTCCTACTTAGTTAAGTGCTTACCTGATATCTTGGTGCTTTAGTTTCTATAAGTACCAGTTAACAACATAGTACGTAAAATTATAAACTGTTAAGCAACACTTTTATGAAGTTTTCTGCTACCTTTAACAAAGCAAGAGGCTTTACGTTAAACAGGCAAAATCAAGTTTTACTAAGAACATGGGACCAAGTGAATGAATGAAAGTGTGGGAAGTTACCGCAGCTTAATTCAGTACTCAAATGCATGGAGTACAGAGTTACATAAATAAATTAGTCTCACTTTAAAATTGTCTGCTTCTTTCAAGTATGCAATAATAAGATATATATATACATATGCATATATACATCTCTATGCATATCTATATACATATGCATATATACATATCTATGCATATCTATATACATATCTATACATAACTATATATACATATATATCTATATCTATCTATCAATAGATAGATATGCCACCTTTTATAGGTGCCACCCTTTTGGAAAGAATCATGAATACCACCACCCAATCCATAGGGTCCTGACAGGCAGGAACAATGGACTGAAACTATCAAGATGAAATTTGGTAGGAGTAGGCATCAGCTCTCACTCTTTTCTCTAAAATAAATAATAAAGATACCAAATATGGAGAAAATTTAACAATAACATAAGAAATCACATGGGAATATTATCTGAATGCAAGAGTAACATATGCAGCTATCAAACAGTAAAGGGTGGTGTGATTGCACCACTGGAGTCTTGAATTTACAAGAGTCATTTTCAGAGAGACATGCATTTCAGGAGCCATATTAGAATATCCAGGAGGTGAGTAGACCAAGTTGAAGAAAGCGAAGTCACTATTATTGTGTAATTTAAAACTGAAAATTTAAAAATGGAAAAAGGAACAAAAAGAAGCTCTCCAAAATCTTCAAGGTTAGGTATTCAGGAAATAGCCTGTGATTTATAGTGAGTTAGGGGATGGACAATGGATATACTTGGGATAGTGATATTTTTATGTACAGTAAAAAGAGTAATAATTCCTCTGGAAGGAGAAAGTCTACTCTCATTAGTAAGGCCCATCTTATTTCCCCTGGTTCTGTTTTGCATTTAATTTACTTATTTCTGTTTACTGGGCATCTACTCTGACATGTATTAAGCACACACTGAGGATAAAGTGATCAAGTGAGCTCTATCAAAGAATGTTTCTCTACTTCAAGAAGTCTACTTCCCAGCTCCATCTTGCTGAGCCAGTCCCATGGCAAAAATCCTCCGTTTCCTTATCAGGTGAAACTCATATAAAGCCATTTCCACAGATTTAGTGACCACGTGATAACTTTCCTGTTCCCAAATGGCATGACCAGGAAGCTCCATTGTTTGCAGAGCCCAGGACAGAGCTAACAATCAACTAGTTTGTATTGGTACAGTCAGTGTCATTAATAAAATGTTGAACCACACCAAAAACACTGTTTCAGACCACCAATGGAATAAAAAAAAAGCCATAATATAAAAAAAATAATAGGAGGAGTAGGGTAAGGTAAAAAGTATCAGGCTTTTCTGCCCCCCTGCCATTAGGATAGATGACGGAACCCTGCGGTCCTAAATGCATGCCTGATGGCGGGCACCTGGAGTAGGGTGTGGGCATAGGTAGATGGGATTCACCTGGGCTAAGACTGGGCTTTTAAGGGTGGCGTCATGGGGACACCAGTAGGAGCACAGAAGCCCTAGAGAAGAAGAGAAGCAGAGAGAACGCCAGAGAGCCCAAATAGAGTGAGGGTTTGTTGGGGGCTGGGAGGACTGCCAGCCTTCCGGCCCCCCAGCACCCCTGACTGCCATATGCCTGGTAAATCTAAATAAAAAGCTTGCAAAGCCCACCGAGGACTCTCTAGGACTCCTTCTTTACCTGGTCTGCTGGATCAGAAAACCTGCACTGTGGTCTTCCTGCCTCCACAGGAGGTCTTACTTGGAAGTTAATGGAAAACAAATGATTTTCTGCGTGGGTCTGAAAGAACCCAAATAAGTAGAAATGTAGAGAAAAGGAAATATCTGCTGTCCACAACTGATCATATCTGAACTGAGAAAGTCTCAAGGTCACTTTCTAAGCCCTCCCGCCCCATACAGGTGAGAATGGAAATTTCAGACACCCTATTTGAGAAAGAACGCAGCTCCACCTCCCCCATGCAATCACCCCCTCACCCAGCAATCAAAGGGCCAATGCTTGCATTCGAAGTGCCCCAGCACTGCTCGTTGGCCATTCTGATTCAATTTTCCTGGTGATACCAATCCCTACCCCTACTACATTTGAGAACCCAGGATTGGGGGGATAATTACCAGCCCCCAATCCCCTTATCTTTCTCCCCTCCTTCCTCCTGTTTCCCTAACAACTGGCCCTTAGCAGGAAGAACAGTGCTGTAGGGTAAGGAAAAATGTCGGGCTTTTCTGCCCTCCTGCCATCAGGATAGATGATGGATCCTTGTCCTGAATGCATGCCTAATGGCGGGCACCTGGAGTAGGGTGTGGGCCTAGGTAGATGGGATTCACCTGGGCTAAGACTGTGCTTTTTAAGGGTGGTGTCATGGGGACGCCAGCAGCAGGAGAAACTGAAAGAGAAGCTGAGAGAGAAGCAAAGAAGCAGCAGCAGAGAACGCCGGAGATTCCAGATAAAGTGAAGACTTGCTGGGGGCTGGGAGGCTGGCAGGCACCCCTGCCAGCCGTATACCTGGTAATCCCAATAAAAGAGCTGCAAAAACCACTGAGGACTCTGACTCCTCCTTTACCCTGTCTGCTGGATCAGAAAACCTGCACTGTGTCCATTCCTGCCCTTTACAAGTGCTTATGCCTTTTAGTCTCAGAGATTAAGCCTTGCCATCGTTGGCCAGGGTGGCCCTCATCTGGCCTTCAGAAACTGACTAGGATAGCTCACAGCTTTGTGGACACAGTGGACTCTCCTGTTCCCGCAGACGTTTGTGCACAGTGTAAGAGAAAAGAACTACTTTATTTATCTGGGTATATTCCCCTTCATGTGACACAGAGTTCCAGAATTGCAAGTTGGGCGCTGGGGATACACAGACAACCATGGAGCTGTTTCTGAGTCTCTCATACAGGAAGCACGACTGTGCAGCGTAGCAATTTCTGAGAAGTAGAGTCAGCTACAGAAACGCGACTCTGCGAGCAAGTTTACTTCTAGCGTCCCCAAGACCCAGGCTCACAAAACTCCAACTTCCCGGCTTCCGCCCACAGCACTCTGAGCCTCGACGCATAAACTGGGCCTGCGCCAGGCCTGGCGCGCATGCGCCAAGTCCGGTCCAATCAGAATCCCAAACCCAGGGATTCCGGGAGGGACGTGGTAACCTCGAGGCGGGGCGGAGTCCCGGAACCGAAAGACAGTACTGATTGGCCGGCCTCGGGGCACACATTTCTCTTGTGGGCGGAGCCTCGCCCTGGAGCCAGGTCTAGAGCTGTTTCCCTAATTTGGGAAGCGCTTGGCGCGGGCGGGGCGGGCAGCGGCGAGCGGTACGTAGTGCGCCTGCGCCGAGTGCCGGGACAGGGCGTGTTCCTGGTTGGGGGCCGGATTGCCCTGCGCGGGTGCATCTCCGCTGCCCCAAGTGGGTCTCCAGGACGCCCGTGGTCCCCACTTCCAGCCGCTTAGGCGCTGCGCCCCGCGGTGAGTGTGTGTGGCTTTGCACTTGGATCTGCGTCTCTCAGCGGGAGCGGAGGGACCCTGGGCGCTGCCCACTCCCCCGCCCAGCCCGGTCCCCTCCCCCTCCCGGCCGCTGCCCCCCACTTTCCCCGGCCTGGGCAACCCGGGGAGTGTCAGCCTGGGGGGCTCCACTTTCTAGCCCGGCACCCTCCGCCCGTCGCCCACGTGCTTGTTGTTGTCGTTTGGTGCAGATCATGTCCAAGTCTCTGAAAAAGTTGGTGGAGGAGAGCAAGGAGAAGAACCAGCCGGAAGTGGACATGAGCGACCGGGGCATCTCCAGCTTGCTGGACGTCCACGGCCTGTGTGAGTGCTCGGGCGGGCCTGCCCCTGGGCTGAGCAGGGAAGGTGAAGTTTTCCAGGTCCCTGAGGGGCCTGGTCTGAGAAGGGGTAATGGTTTGCAGCCCACCCCCCCCACATCTCCCCTGCTTGTAGGTCAGCATCAGCAGTCCAGAGCTTAGGTGTGAATTTGTTCCATCCCAGCTGCAAAACGAACTCCAGAGGCAGATATGAATCACACAGGCTGGTGCTGCTGTGTCTCATCAGTTGTGCTGATTTATGGCACCTGGGATTTTCTACAGTTTTCCTAATAGCCATTTTATTTTATAGTTCTATTTTTAAATAGTTTATTTTTTAAGATTTGTTTATTTATGCATACAAGAGCTGGGGTACGGGCCAGAGATGCAGGGGGTGAGAGTGAGAGGATTCACCAGAGACAGAGTGGGGTGCAGAACATGCAGATGTACTGAAATACACTGCTGAGGGGAGCAGTGGGTGAGATAGGAGAGGTCTGCTGCACCATGTAGGTTGCTCCCTGGCCGGGCTGGGGATGAACTAGTGCTGCAGAAGGTGCAGTGTTTCGCTTTGTAGTGCGGCGCTTAACCCCTTGCGCCACCAGGGGGGTCCTTACTTTATTTTTTAAATGTAAGTCATTTTTGAATAATTTGTCCTTTGTCCTAATGTTGTCTTTGGCCTTTGAACAAATGACACACACAGTTATTGATAAGTATGAAGTGTTTTTGAGGTGGGAATGTTTTTTAAACTTTTGACTCATCTTTTCCTGGATCTTGATCCTCCTAACTTGACTCAGGCTTTAGTTAGCTCCTATTTGTGTTATTGTGACATCTTCCTAACTGTCCCTCTTGCCTACCTACAGTTTTATCCCCCTTAAAGTTGAGTTACTGCTTTCAGTGTTATTTTCCTGTAACGTTACATTACTCTCTCTCCTTGAAACCCTGAACAGGGGAGGATGGGCAGAAACGCTGTAATTAAATCCCATCTGAAGGGGGAAGCTGCTACACCTGCTACTCAGATCCTAATCATGGTCACCACATGGAAACACTGGCTTAGTCTTGCCAGAATTTTTTTTTCAATAAGCCAAGACTTTAGATGAAATTGTCTAATTTTTATAAGTTGGGAGTTGATTCCAATATTTGAAAAATACTGTGGGCCTCCCTGGTGGCACAGTGGGTTGAGTGCAGTGCTGTGATGCTGTCCACAGCCTCTGCAGCGTATGTTCAATTCCTGGCCGGCCTGGAAGATACCCACATGGTGCAGCAGACCTCTCCTGTCTCACCCGCTGCTCCCATCAGCAGTGTTTTTGGTCCGTCTGCCTGTTCTGCTCCCCACTCTGTCTCTGGTGAATCCTCTCAGCATCCCACGTCTCTGGCCTGTACCCCAGTTCTTATACAAATAAATAAATCTTAAAAAAAAGAAAAAATACTGTAGAGGTGAAACAAACTTTAGGCTGAATGTGGCTTTGATTTCCTCCCTTGAACATTTCTCACAGGTGTTCATAGCCAAGGGCAGTGCTCTCCAGGGTTCCTTGGCCAGACATCCTTGGCCAGAATTTGAGCACAACCTGTTGCCTTCCACACACTCACTGTCATGGCCATACTGACTGACTGCCCTTCCTGAGCCAGGGCACACTCTTGTAGGCCATATTGTTTCGCAAGTATTATGTACTTCTGTCCCCTTCTTTAGCTTAAATCCTTTTACTTCAAGAGCCAGCTCCAGTGTGACAGCGTATGTGAAACCTTCTCTGTATCGGGCTGCTCTCCTCTGAAGGTGGATGGGCCTTGCTTCATGCTCTTGTTACAAAGGATTGTATTGTCTCTTTATTCTAGAGATTTGTCTTCCCCACTGGGGGGATTAAAACTGTCATGTATATTGTGTTTGCTGCCTTTCGAGCTAGGATATAATAGGTGTTCAAAATGTTTGATAAATGAAGAAAACAGTGGATTATGCTTATGAGTTTGAGATTCAGACCTGGGAATTGGAGAAGGATGTCCGGGAGACCATAGGAGACGATAAGCTGCATGTTAGGCAGAAACAGCAGCGTCAGACTTACCATGAGTCCATGGTTGTGTCTTGGACAGAGATTGGGATTGGTGCTCTTTACAAGTCTTGGCAAAAGGAAAGGGGATGAAACGCTGTAAGTGGTGCCTTTGATAACCCTTAGGTAGATAAACCATCAAACTTGGCTTTTTTACTGATTGGCTTCTCATCCTCTGAGGATATGTTGGCTCCTGTCAGTGGCGATGGCTTCTTGGGGACACTAACAGCAGTTGTCCCAGGTGCTGAATTGGCAGGTGAGGATCTGCTTGTATCCCTCTGGTTCTCCCGTGACCCCGATGATCGTGGGGTTGCTGCTGCAAGAGAAGGAGATGGGGGGGGGGGCAGGCAGGCGCCTGGCCCAGCTGTGCACTTGGTCCCCTGGTTTCTGCTCTCAGCAGCCTTTTCCTCAGGGGCTTGAGGAAAGATTGCTTTTGGCAGAGGAACGATACCCTCTTTTGCTTTGAAGAAGACTCTTTATGTAATATTTGTCAGTGGCGTAGTGAATGAGCTATTTCAGTTTAGTGCTGTTATCTATTTGAAGCCTTGGTTTTTATTGAGGAAGAAAAGATAGCCACTTGCTTCCTGAAAAAAATTGTTTCCTGTGTAGCACGAGGTGCTGAAAGCAAAATTAAATTCTCCCAAAGAAGCAGCTTAAGGAAGAACAACAGTGCTTTTTGGGGAGCTCAGTGGAAATGATTTTGAACTTCTCACCTCTTCCTGCCTCAGTGGTGTGGAGAGCCAGGGGCGGCTGCTTTCTATTTGCTTGACTTCTGGGTTCCCGGAGTCTGGAAAGTGGCAGATGCCTTCAGGAAGCCCTTAGCTGGGGCTCATTCATCAGTTGTTACACATAATCCTCAGTTTATATTTGTACTAAAATATCCCTATGGTTACTTTAGCTGTAGCACAGGCATTCTTGTGTTCCTTAGAACATTTTAACTGTAATCCTGAAGCTTAATGTATCAGTGTCAGGATCGAACACAGGGAATAATAGTCCAGCACTTGGGCCAAGAGTGGTTGTTGCTTGCATTTTATTCTTCCCCTTCATATGTTTACTTGACTTTCTCAAAAGATAAGCAAGAATAAGTTCTGAAGATAGAATGGAGGTAATGTACTCAGCAAATGAAATGCTCCTCTTTCTGCTTGGGACTGTTGTGTCTTATAAATGCAGCACTTTATTGGAGACAGCAAATTATGTCTTTAAAAATGTTTTCTGCGGTTTAGGTATCAAAGCTTTCTGATGCAGACAGCCAGCAGACAGGCTCTCTAGTTTCTGGGTGTGGTGTGACCTTGCCTGAGAGGCATAAGAGGACAGAACACCTTGAGGTTGAATAGATTGACTTCAAATTTGCTGTCCCCCCCAACCCCCTTAATACTGTGTAACTTCAGAGAAGCTGCCTGACTTTTCTGAGCTTCAAGTTCCTCATCATAAAGTGGAAACTTAGGTATTCGTAAGACTGCTTTTGTGCTGAGTGCACTGAGGCAGGCTGGTGGCAGGTGCCTCCCTTCCTGCTTGCTATGGAGCTGCAGCAAACATTAACTATTAATGTGACTCTCCAAATGGAATCCGTAAGCCTCAGATGTAGCCAATAATGGTACTGATTTTCTTTTTATTAAGAAAATTTCACTGCAAAAACTTTGATGCAGCAACTGTCTTCACCTGGATGATAGAGCAGCCGTTGGAAGGTTCCTGGAATCATCTGCAAGGGGAGCAGGGATCCCATCAGCAGCCAGGAGACTTTTTTCATTTCTTTTATTTAAATCTTTTGTGACTTTTTAATCTCCAAGTTGATTGGTCAAGCCCTATCAATTCCTGCCTCCCCACTCCACTTATACAGCTTTAAGCTAAATCTTAAAAAGAAAAATAACCTGCCTCCCAGGGAAGTGCTTTTTCTAAATAAAGGACCATGCAAAAATAGCCAAGGAAGGTGATGGTGGGTCATCAAGGAGGGCTGTTCAAAGTCCTGTTAAACCTGAAGTGGGCAGGCTGTTGGCGCGTATGTTATCCATCACCTGTTTTGAGGAAGGAATCAAAAAGCTAGAAGGAAGACCAGGTCATTTTAGCTATTATCTTTATTAAGATCTTCCATATTTTTACTCCTCTAGATTGAGTGAATATGCACCTTAAAAACACCTTTTGTTTTTAAACAGGCAGTATCTTGGCCTGGGAAACTTTACCCCCTTTTTGCTCTCAGCGGGCCATCTCTCCACCATCAGTTACTGCTGTGGAAGAAAGGAATAGCTCCTCTGTCCACTTGACTCCATTCTACCTGTCCTTCTCTGGAAGCTCCTGAGAACTAAATTTTAAACCACCATTCCATCTAGCCTGATACAAGTTCTCCTCTAGGCCTGGCGTGCAAAGCCTCTTTTATCTCTGTACTTGGCACAGTGCTTGGGGAAAGTTGATTGGAGGATGCTTTTAGTTAAGAAATTCAGAGGAGGGTGAAAAGCATAGCACAGGTGAGGGGCTGATGCTACTTCCTGCAAGCTGCCAGAGGGAGACCAGTTCACAGCCACCGGAAGCATGGTAGAACTAACTTCAATTGTTGATTTCAGGACTAGGTAAAAACGGAACATATTTCATCCAGATAGGAAAGGAAAATAAAGGAAAAGTGTGATCCCTTTGGTGTAACTGAACTTGCAATTTACTATTTTTTTACTTTTACTGTTTTTCAATCATTGACTGTTGTGGTGCCAGTCAGCGTGGCTGCTTTTTTGTTAGGAGCTGTGTAGCTTTGGGCACGTTACTTAAACTCTCAGTGCCTCAGGTATCTTGTCTATAAAATGGGAGTAAGAATAACCCGTGGGATTGCTGAGAGTCATTATCTGTAAAATGCCTAGTGCACCACCTGCCGTGCCAGTCTGTTTAGGCTGCTCTAGCAGAATACCTTAGACTGGGTGGTTTTTAAACAATAGAAATCTATTTCTCACAGTTCTGGAGGCTGGAAGTCCAAGATCAAGGCAAGGGCTGA